GGGCGCTGTGGCCTCCAGCCCCTCACACAGGCCCAGACCGCAGTGGGGTCCCTGCTCTGCCCGCTGGCTGGAGGGGGGCATGTGCTGGGGTACAGGCAGCCCCCTGCCTGCTCTGCCAGGCCTGGCCGTGCCCGCTGTGGCTACAAGGGCGGCAGGTGTGAGGAAGCAGTGTGGGCAGGGGCAGAGCCGGGCCTGCTGGGCGCTCTCCGTGGGCCAGTCACACCGCAGGTCCCCGCTGCCTGAGCCCTGAGCCGCATCAGGAAGAGTGAAAGTGAGGGGCCAAGGTGGGTGAGGAAGAGGGAGCGGAAAGGAGACTGCATGGCAGAGCCCACAGCTGCGCCTCACGGGGCCACGGCTGGACTCTGGCCACCACCCACTGATCTGCACCGGAGTGCGGACCAGACCTCCATGCCCTTGGCCTCTCAGTCACTGACTGCTTCACAGAAGGGGACACGGATGCCCCAAGAGGACCTACGGCTTGGGGAGAATGCCGCAGAAAGTCACAGACATGGAGGGACCAGAGTCTGGCCGGCGCCCCGGATTCAAGCTCTCTCCCATATACCCGGCCCCACTGGGACCCTGTCTTGGCTCACAAGGGCCAGCGGGTGGCTCTGTGCATGGTCACAGGGCAAGAGTGTGGCGGAGGCCCGCCTTCTCCTCAGTGGGTGACCTGTCTCTCGCTCACCCTGCTCTCCCCAGGACGAGGAGCAGGTTGTGGGCCAACCAGACCTCCTGGTCCCGCCAGCAGGAGGGAGAGAAGGTTTGGAGGGGTGAAGTGGTGGGAAGGGGTCAGCACGCTGGCCCAGCACGGCCCTTACCTCCCCCGGGGACACTCACCATTCATCTGGGAGGGAGACAAGGAGTAGTCGCGGTCCGTGTGCCGCCGGTCAGGCTTCAGGGTGCGGCTGTGCCGGCCGGAGCCCTCTAGCATGTTCACGAGCTCGCTGCGGTCCACGCTGCGCAGGGCGGCGTACAGGCTCTCCACTGTGGGGGAGGGGAGCGGACAGCCTGAGCCCATGCCAGGGCACGGTGTAGGTGGTCTCTGCCCTCAGCCCGGGGCAGAAGGGAGCGGGAGTTGGGGGCCTCCCTCCCAGGGGCTGGGACACCCCCTTAGGTCCGCATCCAGAGAATATGCCCCTTAGGAGAACACTTTTTTTTAAGCGAGAGTTTTGCCACAGGGCATATGTGCTCGCTGGAGAGACAGACAGACAGAAAGCAAGAAATCACCTCTCAGGGGTGATGGTCACACCTCAACCCCTTCTCCTCCATTCTCCTCGGGATTTTGGGCATAAACACACAAGCACCCAGCATTAGTTTTAAGCTGCTGGGTCTGGGACTCGAACCACAGCCAACTACGTGGGAGTCCAGCGATAGAACCATCACAGAGGACATGTTTTGGTGTTCGACAGCTCTCTGTGAACACTCATGGTGGCCAGTGAGAAAGCACAGGAAGGCTGTGTTTCCCGTTGGCTTTGCTCATGGAAGTGGCACTAAATGAGAACGACTGGGCCTTCGACAATTCTTGGTCCCTGCCTGCTGGCCCGAGATGCCAGCGGAAACCCTACTTCCTCTTGGTGTTTTGGAGGTGGGGCTGAGAGCTGGGCGAAGCTACCCGTTGTGGGACAAAGATGCTCGGGAAGAGAACTGCCTGGAGGGGAGTGGGGAGCACAGGCGGTGCCCTCAGGACCACACTCATGTGGTGGAGAACTCCACGGGAGACTTCAGAGACCCGCCGAGATGCTGTCACCGAGGGGGGCACTTTTTATCTTATGCCAAGGACAGGAGAGGGAGCGAGGCCAGCACTCCGTGAGATCCGGCAGAACTGCCCGGAGACCTACTGACCATGAGAGGTGTGTGTGCATGTCTGTGTCTCTGCAGAAGACAGAGGGGGAGAGAGGGCCAGTCTCAAGGCCACCCCCACGATTGGAACGAAGGCATGAAGACCTAGCCTGGGAGGAGTGGGCTGGCCAGGCCTGCAGGGGGCGCCCTCTCCCAGGGGGGAGGAGGGGGCGACACTGACTCTGTGCGTTCTTGCCCTCACGCAGGACCCAGAGGTTCAGCAAGGCCACGCTCTGCTCTAGCAGGGAGTTGGGGTTCTCCACCCGGATCCTGTTGATGTCCTCCACGCTGAACTGCAGCTCCCGGGCCAGCTCTGCAGGACAAGCAAGACCACACGTGAGCCACGCTCCATGCCTGTGACCCGGTGCTCATGGCGCGATGCTGGAGGGGGCTTCCGGGGTGGGCCTGCGGCCGGGAGCAGCGCCCTTCGGTACTTCTCCCTCAGAGCACCCACACCTGCGCGTCCCCGGAGCGCGTGGATGAATGCCCTTTCTTCCACTTTACACGGACGGCGGCAGTGAGCAAGGCCACCTCCCAGGTCACGGGACAAGTCAGTCCCGCCGGGAGGAGGAGTCTGCTGATGCCAGGAGCTGCCTGGACCACAGGGACACGCCTCCCAGCAGGAGTCCCCACAGCAGATGCACATTCCAGAGGCTGCACCTCTTGGGGGGCGTCATTTACATCCAGAGCGGAGAACCTGAGGGCCACCCCCATTGCTACTTCCCACAGGGGGATCGGGGGCAGAGGGCGTCCAGGTCTGACTCCAGTGACGAGGGACAGAACACGCACACCACAGACCCACGCAGACATGACACACAGACATGCACACACACACGTCCAGGCACTCACATGCACGTGGATGTACAGACACACATGTATAGACCCCAGCCATACATATACAGACACGCACACACACATGCACCCAGGCACTCACATGCACGTGGATGTACAGACACACATGTACAGACCCTAGGTATACATATACAGACACGCACACACACATGCACCCAGGCACTCACATGCACGTGGATGTACAGACACACATGTACAGACCCTAGGTATACATATACAGACACGCACACACACATGCACCCAGGCACTCACATGCACGTGGATGTACAGACACACATGTACAGACCCTAGGTATACATATACAGACACGCACACACACATGCACCCAGGCACTCACATGCACGTGGATGTACAGACACACATGTACAGACCCTAGGTATACATATACAGACACGCACACACACATGCACCCAGGCACTCACATGCACGTGGATGTACAGACACACATGTACAGACCCTAGGTATACATATACAGACACGCACACACACATGCACCCAGGCACTCACATGCACGTGGATGTACAGACACACATGTACAGACCCTAGGTATACATATACACACACACACAGGTACACACATACATACAGACACTCCCCCACAGACATGCACATACAGATACATGCGCACACACACCCAAATACATACATAAACACAGACATAACCCCCCCGGCAGACATGCACATACAGCACACGCACACCCCCCACAGATTCACATATACACACAGGCATACACACACGCACACACACACAGACACATGCCCCATAGGCACACACATACATGAAACATGTACACACAGACATACATATACATATAAGCACACATACCCACAGGCACACACACACAGACGTCTGCATACACACACAAATATGCAGACCTATGCACATACTCTCAAAGACACACACACGCCCATAGATATAGACATACACACTACACACTACACACGTACTCGCAGACACACACACATACACCCATAGGCATATATACACATGCAGGTGCACATACACAGATGCACAGCAGACACAGAGACAGACTGACACCCCCACCCCAAGGAACAGCCGCAGACAGGCTTACGGAGAGGCAGCCCGAGCCTCAGGTGGCCCCTCGGCTGCCGCTGGGCTTTGTGAGTCTGCCTCAGTGCTGAGCAGGTGGCAGAGGGGGGTCCACATGCACACACCATCACAGACGAGAGCAGGGGGGTGGACAGTGGCGCTGTGGGGGGCCATGCTCTGCCATGCGGGACCCACCCGTGCACACTTGCGTGTGCCATGCCCCAGGAGGGCTGGGGTCGGGGTGGGTCACAACGTAAGGAGCCTCTTCAGGGTGCCTGGCTTTCTCTTTCTCTCATGGAGATAACAGATAAATACATTTTAAAAACTGGGGCCAGCAGATAGTGTAATGGTTACGTCGCTGGACACCCAGGTAGTCGACAGCAGTTCAAGTCCCAGACCTGGTGACTTAAAACTCACACTGGGTACATGTGTGTACATGCCCACAGTCCTGCGAAGAAAATAAAAGAGAAGGGATTGTGGCGTGGCCATCCCCCTGGAGGGTGATTTCTCGCTTTCTGTCTCTCTGTTTCTCCAGTGAGCACACGTGCCCTATAGCAAAAACCTCTCATAAATAAATAAAAAGGAGGAGGGCGAGCAGGTGGTGCAGTGGCCAAGGCACTGGACTCCCATGTAGCCCACCACAGTTTGAGTCCTGGATCTGGTGGCCTGGAACTCATGCTGGGTGCATGTGCATGCGTGCCCAGAATCCAGAGAGGAGAATGGAGGAGAAGGGATTGGCCATGTGGCTATCCCCTCTGGGGGTGATTTCTCAATTTCTCTCTGTGTCTCTAGCAAGTTCATGCATCTTGCAGCAAAGCTCTCTTTAAAATAAATAAATAATAAAATAAAAAAATGGGGGAGGGTGCCTTGAGTTCAAGGGCTGCTGAGCCTCAGTCTACCCATTCCGTGCGGGATCCCACCGGGTCCTGACCTTGAAGGACTTCTGTCGCCGCCAGCGACAGCGCGAGACTGTGTGGGACACCAAGACATGCCCCTTTCCCTGCTTTTCCTCCGCAAAGCCCGCCTCTGGGGAGAGGCAATGCAGGTGCACAGCAGGCAGCGGGTGGCGTGTGTGCGTCTGTCTGCTGTCTGGGCCTGTCACTACCTAGATGCACAGCCCCACACTCAGTGTAGAGAGATCTCGGTTTTCCCTGCTGTAAGGTGAGCTCAATTGTGTAAATTCTCGAATCTCTTACGACATAACTTGAGTCCTGTTACCGGAAAGGCAGCCGAGAGCAGAGGGGACGTGCACCCCCCATCCACCACACAGAGGGTGCGGCTCAGACAGCAGGCCTTCCCAGGACGGTCACAAGCAGACGCGCTCTGGCTGGTCGCCGCTGGGGGGCGCCCCACTCACCCGCCCAGCTGAGGCCCAGGTGCTCAGCGATGATGGCCATCTTCATGTCCGCGCGGTCTGTCCCGCTGAGGAAGCCTGGGGAGAAGGTGGGATTTCATCCAGGGCCCAGGCAGGACCACGCCTGACAGGCAGGCCCGATGGATTCTAAGGGTCAGGTGCTCAGAACTGGCTGAGCCAGCCACACCCGCAGCCCAGCCCTGGAGGGAGGGAAGCCGCAGTCGTGCGGGGAGGACGCCGCGCTGCAGTCGTGGTGCTCGTACCCAGGGTGGACTCGCTGAGGACGCTGTATCTCAGGGCCAGCGGCGTCAGGGTCCTTCTCCTGTCCTCGGCTCCACTTCCCTGCAGAAGACAGACAGGACAGGCTTGGGTTCGGCCGTCCCCGCCTTCTCGGAGAAGGGGATCTGGGCAGCGCTGAGGGCAGGAAGGAGGACCCCGGTCCTGGCGAACGGCTCCGTTTCTGCGGGGGCCCAGTACAGAGGGCAAAAGTGTGGAGGGGTCGGCGCGGCTCACATACTCCGAGGGTAATAGTAACAATGATAACGACAGCTAACGCGTGCAGCCCCAGCACATGCGAGGGTCTGCTGCGTGTTCACACCGACCTCTGAGGTGGGCACTAGTACCGTTCTCACTTCATCGATGAGGACACAGGCACAGAGAAGTTACGTAATTTGACCACGGTTACCCAGCGAGCAAATGGTGGGACTGCGGTTTGAACTCAGAACTAAATTTTTCTTCTTGGGTTCCTTTCTGCTCAGGCCTGTTTCTTTCTTTTTCTTTTTTTCTTTTTTTTTTTAGAAGTGGTTTTTGCTATAGGGCGTGTGTGCTTGCCAGCCAGACAGAGAGAGACAGAGAGACAGAAAGCGAGAAATCACCCCCCAGGGGGGATGGTCACACTGCAATCCCTTCTCCTCCATTCTCCTCTTGGGATCTTGGGCACGCACGCACACGCGCCCGGCGTGAGTTTTAAGCCATGGGGTCCGGGACGCGAACCGCGGTCGACTACGTGGGAGTCCAGCGACATAGCCATTACGCTAACTGCTGGTCCCGCCAGGCCTGTTTCTGAGACCACCCTAAGGCTCACCACTGGGGCCCTGCAGAAAAGCACCCAGACGCTGACTGGCAGCTGCAGGAAACCCTGAGATGCTGGCTCCCCCTCGCCCCTGGGGAGAGATGGGAACCGAGCCCCGGACGTATGAACGACCTTGCTTCTTTTGTAGTTCAGCATGGAAGGCTAATGGTTAAAACAACGACAACAGCCACAGCGAGACGACAACAAGAACCATGGAGACGTCTGGGGACGCATGAGCACTCCGAGGGCCTAGCGTAGTGGTGACTGGCACTCAGAGGTGCGAGGGGTGAACATACTTGCTCAAGACTCCTCGGCTGAACTCACAGCCCTGGGTGTTTGCAGAGGCTGAGGACACAGGAGTCCCTTCTCTGAGGGCCTAGCACCCTGGGAAGATAAGCAAGTAAACGACAGAGAGGCTTGACAGAAGCGGTGCCCTGGCCGGGACCTTGAGCAACTGTCACACGGCTCCAGGCCACAGAGGCCGCAGGAGGGGAAGCGAGCTGGTGCCTGGCAGGTTCTCCTAGGCCTCATGTCCTGCAGCGCTCGGGTAGCAGTGTGACCCGACTCTAACATGAGCTCCCCAGGCCACAGGCCAAAGCTGGCTGGAGCCCTGGAGAGCGGGCCGGGCATGTGTGCCCCGCCGGGTGGCAAGAACACAACTTCTGCAGGAGCCCCCAGCCCTTCCGCACCTCAGGGCCTCCCAGGCAGCGTTTAGCAGGAGGTGGCCCTTCGAAAATGCCTGCCCTAGGGTCTGTCTTGGGGCCTCCCAAGGGGAGCCTGGGTCTTGCCCGCCCTTGGCAGGTGACCACTCACCTTGGTGCAGGGGGGCATGGTGATGTTCAGGTGGCAGAGGATGTGCTGGGCGTCCTCGTACTTCATTGCCTTGCGCAGGAACGACAAGGACCCTCCTGGCTCCCGACTGCTGTCCCTCACCTGTGTGGGATTACACAGAAGGAAGTCAGGGCCTTTCCAGAGGGTTCCAGGCGACTTCTGCTTCCCTGAATTTTATATTTTTAAGTTTATTTTTATTTCTTCCATGAGTGAGGGGAAGAGAGAGAGAGAGAAAGAGAGAGAGAGAGAGGCTCCCCCCAGTAGGGTCTGCACGCCACAATCCACCCCCAGCCTTGCAAGTCGAGGTCACAGGCACGTGTGTTTGGCATGCTTAGAGACCTCGGGCTGCGAACCCAGGACCTTCCCATATGGCCTGAGCATCAGTGAGCGCTGTGTTGCTGCTGCACCGTGGCTGGTCCTGCCTCCCAAACTTTCCAGACCCAGCCAAGAGGTGGGCAAGAGGAAGCCGTGGGCACCTTCACGGGGATGGCCAGACGGTTCTCCCGGAACGACTGGAAGTGGAAGCTCCTCTGCTGAGCAGCCTTTTTGACGGGTACCAGGTTCCCGGAGAGCTCGGCGAACAGGGACATTCCTTCCAAAACCTGGAGGGGAGAAAAGCCGGCAGCTTGGCAGGCGGCAGGGCCCAGGTGCCTTCCCTCCTCAGGACACAGCCCAGCTGCAGCGGGAGGCCCCGCTGTGTTCCGGAGAAGGCCTGTCCAGGAGGAGGTTGAACGAGCCTGTGCCCTTCTTTCGAAGGACACCCTGAGAGGCGGGAAAAACACAACCCCGGCGAGGCCCACGCCATGCCGTCCAGGGGTCTGGAGCCCCATAGGGTACTGCAGCACGGCGGCTGGAGAAAACCCGGATCTGTCTCTATGTCTGTTCAAAAACGCGGAGTCCACCAGAAGTGCTAGAAAGACCCAGTTCTATTTCACTCTCCCCGGTCAGAACGGTCTCTGTGGTGTCGATGATACCTTCACTGAGAAGTTACCCTAACCCACTGGACAGCTGAGGACAGCGAGGCCCGGAGAGAGGAGCTGCTTTGCCTCATCAGTGCCTGAGGCTGGATTAGAACCGGCCTCAGGACCCAGCCCTGTGCTCTTTCTAGAGGGCCTCAGCCTCCCCGCAGAAGACACGGCGCACTTGCAGCACATATCTGGCCTGTGACACGCCTGGACACGAGTGGTGTCCTGGGGTCAGGAACAGGGTCACACCCAGGCCTCAGCTCCTCACGGGATTCCTCCAGCCCTCTCCTGCATCCCCATCCAGGTGCTCCCGAGACTGGGCAGGGCAGGTAAGGGGAGGGCTCCCGGGTCATTACACTTGGGCAAGCCCTGTCTCTACCACGAACTTCGTCACGTGACCTTGGACAAGTTCCTGAGCAGCTCTAACTCGGTCTCTTGTTCCTAGTAAGTAACCAGGAGGTCGTAAAGGTGCACACGGTTCTGAGCTCAGTGGGGTTCTGCAGGCAAAGCACCTTCAGTAGCGCCTGGTGCAGACGTCAGCTCCTGTCATCGCGAGCCCTGGGCCTACGCCCTAAGGTAGGCCCGCCGCCGGGGCTCGCCTCCTGCGAAGCCTCTCTATAAGAGGCCTCTTCTCAAGAGCAGGATCAGAGAGACACAGAGGGGGCTTTCCATCGCCCAGGCCGTGGAGCGCCGGTGAGCCAGGAGGAGCTGCAGGGGCCCTACCTCTATGTCCCTGCTCCGGGCCACCTCGACGAAGTTCTCGTGTTGCTCCAGGGTCTTGTCCACTTTGTCGTCCGTCATGCAGTAGCAGCGCAGCCGCCCTTCTCGGGGGTCATTCATCTTGGCGAAAATGACGAACTTGGCCATGTAGGGCACGGCCGTGAGCTCTTTGTACAGCAGAGTGGCGAAGTTCACAGCCTCAGCTGTCCGGGGACAGTCCGACAGCCAGAACCTGAAAACGGGGCAAGTCGTGGCACGGCATGTCCTGGAATGCCCCACGGAGTTCCGGGCATCCGGACGGGAGCCCTGCCACACCTGCACAGTGCTCAACATGGATGGGGCAGTGACGGGACCGCGCACTCGAGCCTGGGGAGACGACCTGCAGGGGCAGCGCGGCCCCCATGATGCCGGGCTGGGCTAGGCCTCGCCTCACCTGGCGGAGACGTTGGTGGTGAAGTTGGCACACTCGTTGGCGTACACGAGCTTGGTCGTTCCTGTTATGTCCTCCCACTGGGCCTGGTCTGTGCCTCCTGCAATGCCAGCAGAAAGGGGCTGGGTAGGGGTGGCCGGCCTGCAGGGCGCGGACACACAGCCCTCCCGGGTGCGAAGGCCCGAGTGTGCAAGTGCAGGACTTGGGGAAACAGGTGGGGCCTGCGGCTCTGAGCAGCACTGCTCGTCCGCTGGTTCTCCTAGCGCCCCTCAGTGCCCCCTCTCCTTGGGCTCACAGGATTTACCCAGGTGGTCAGCCCTCCACCGCCCCCAGGGAAGCTGACGAAACTGCAGGCATGGCTGACTTCACCCACTCCCGTCCCCACTCCGTGTGCTCCAGAGTTGCGGCTGCTGAAGTAAGACAGGGGCAAGGGGGTGCCTCTCACCGATGACGCTGCAGAGCAGGCGCAGGCTGGTGGTGTCCCCCTCCCCACTGTCCCTTGGGTTGTCTGTCCAGGAAGGAGGGAGTGGGATCCGAAGCCCGATGGGGCGGTGGAACTTCCGGCGCCGAGGTTCCACGGTGACAATAGGGCTGAATGTGGCCTGGTTGCCCAGCAGTTTGGTGACCAGATCGTCCGGGACAGGCTGGGCCTATGAAGTACCAGGGGACACTCAGCCTGGCTGGGGAGAGGGCCAAGGCCCAGGGCCTGCTCCTGCCTGGCCTCCTTCCTGGGCCCCTTCTCCTCTTCCTCCTTTTCCTTCCCCTTCTTTTCCTCCTCCACGGGACAAGCGCATGTCTCAGACTGCGTGAAGGCAATCTCAGGAGGCCACGCGTGCCGCTGAGCACCCGGCTCTGGCTGGACAGTCCTGGGCCTCTGCTCATCCTCCCACCCTCGTCTCTCTCGAGGGCGAGTCCGTGCTGTGGAACCTCTAGGCCCTGGACACCAGCGCCGGATGTCCTGGGGGAGAGGGGGCCTCCCCAGGGCCTGGCGAGGGGGAGGGCTGCGTCACCTGCAGAGCTAGCTTCACTCTCTTGGTGACGGCGTTTTCTGGGAAGGTGGCCTGCACCAGGGGCACCAGCTTGCTCTTCAGGGAGCCCCCTTCCGGGCCGATGGTGTCGTAGTCCTGGCAGAGCCGCGACATGATCACGAAGTACAGGGGGAAGTCGTTGGTGATGATGCGGCACACCCGCCTCCGCTCCAGCTCCTCCAGGCTCCCCAGCTCTGGAATCACACGGGCTCCTGAGGTCATGCCCGGCCAGGCCTGGCCAGTCCTGGGGACACTGCGCCTCCTTGTCCCACCCAGGTGTCCTGCAGTGGGGTGGCCCAAGGGAGCCCCAGCCAGGGCGATGAGGCTGCAGGCTGACGGCTCTGGGGACCCGCAGCGGGCGGCACACAGGGCCTCCCAGCCTTGCGGGGCTATGATGGCCCTCCAAGTGCAAGCTCAGCCCTGCCCTCGCGGAGGCCCACCGGCCCCTACCCTCGTCCATGCCGTTGAGGATCTGGTCCAGGTAGCTCTCCCCGTAGCGGTTCTTGTGCTCCTTCCACACCAAGCCGTTCTCGCTCCTCAGAACCACAAGCTCGCGGTCCCCGCGGCCATGGGAGGCGAAGTGGGGGATCTCCACAATCACGGGGCTGGGGGGACAGGGTGGATGGTGGGGCAGGGGTCTCACGCCCACCGGGGGCGGAGCACAGGGGGGGCGCAGTCGGCGCCTGAGGGAGAAGGGTCCACCCGCAGGCCCTGGGCAGGAAGGGTGGGGCTCAGCTTTATGTCTCGGGCTTCCCGTCCCCATGGCCCAGCCGAGGCCCAGCTGAGGGGGCCCCTTGGACTGATCCCATGATGTTCCGACAGGTGACCTGCCCACCCGGGCCTCAGCTTCGGTCTACACACGGCCATGAGGCCTTTCCTCGGGGAAGGCTGTGAGGACTCCATTTACAGAGAACTCTAAGAGCAGGCTGAGAAGAGCCCATGGGGCTGGGGCCGAGGTGGCGAACAGGGTCCCCTGCTCGAGGCCTGTCTCACCACTGCCCGCAGTGCCCAAAAGCAGGCTTCAGGAGGGAGCCCAGGAGCCCCAGAGAGGGTAAGGCCCGGGCCCACAGTCCAGTGGCCCTCAGCAAGCAGGGCTGCCTTCCTGAGCCCCCGTTGTGCATGAACAATCACACCCTGGGGACCCCCAGGAGCTCCGTCCCCCACCCTCTGTCCCTGCTGTCACAGCAGGACGTGACCACTAAGCTCCGCCAAGGCTGTGGGCCCCTCATTGTCTTGGAAAAGCAGGGAAGGGGCTGAGAGTCCTGGCAGGAAGGGGCTCCGGGTGGCAGGGGCCCCGGGAAGGCACTCACCTCAAGAACTGGGCCCCTGTGGGCCCCAGCGCGATGATCCTGCTGGCCAGGCCTTCCTCCTCAGCCAGCGGGGGCGGCGTGCTCAGCTTCTGGGGCTTGACCAGGCGGCAGGTGATGCGCGTGGGCGCCGCGCAGGTGCGGGGCGGGATCACCACTCGCAGGCCGTTGTGGCGGCTGCCCCGCATGGAGCCCCCGCGGGCGTCCACCATGAAGCTCACCAGGAACCTAGGGGCCAGCACAAAGCGTTGGCACCCACGCCCCTCTGGGAGCCGGGCGGGAGTGGCCGACCCTGTGCCACTCACCCCGTGTGGACTGGGCTGGCCACCGGGCTGATGTTGTCTGAGGTCTCCGTGGCTGGGCTGCTGGGGATGAGTGTGTGTTCGTCGTACTCTTTGGATGCCTGTGGAGGACAGGGGAGGTGGCCTGTCCCTTCACCTCCTGGGGCCCGTGGAAAGTGCTCTCGCACACCCGCCCGGGATAAGGCCTTCCTGGGAATCAAAGAAGTGTGGCTCCCCTCCCCCACGGCTGCTCTGTGGCTCAGCTCAGGGCCCTGGGACTGAGCTTGGGGACAGATGGAGCGAGTGCCCGGCCTGGGCTGGATGCCACTGCAGCTGCTGCCGGCCACCACCCTCCTCCACAGCGATGCCCAGTGGGGAGCTCTGTCGGGCAGCCCGCTTCCTCTCCACAGCACGGTCACCTGTAAGCTGCCCAGCTCTGGGCCAGCGCTGCCCTGCGGGCACCTGAGGCACAGGAGTGGACACAAAGACCCTGTCCCTGCAGGGCTTCCGCTTCCTCACCTGTGACGGGGGTGGGGGCTCCCACCACAGTGACACTGCAACTATAGGGACAAGAGGCTGACCAGGGCTCACGGGAGCCCCCGGGCCCTCTCAGTTTATTCCCATCTGTGCTTGGGCTGCGTTTTCCTGGCCCAGGGCATCCTCGCCCTGTGGGGCAGAGGGAGACCAGCCCCAGCCTGAGAACAGCCACGCCCGGCTCGGTTCTCGGGCTTTCGGGCAAGCCTGGTGCAGCCCCGAACACCCTTGCCTCTGTCCTGGTGATGACACGAGCTGAGCTAGGACACCCGATGGCTTCAAACCACCCCTTTCCCTTCTGAACACTCAGGTGCCGTGCTGGGACGCCACAGATCAGGCCTCACAGCCCTCTGGCACCCCCAGCCCCCCCGGCGCTGATGTTTCCAGCCCCGACCCCTCCTGAAGGAAGGCGAGGCAGACACTGTCTTTTTTTATGACTGTGAAACAAAAGGTGCGCAGGGCCCTGAGACGCGCCGAGCTCCTGTGTCTGCAGGTAGGTGTGGACGGGGAGGGCTTCCTCTCCAGCACCATGGCCAGCGGCCCCGACAGGGTTGTGGCTGGGAATGCAGGCCTTGGAGCCAGGACTTCTGGGGTCGGTCCTGGGCTGTCTCAGGGCGGGCTGCTGGGGGTGGTTCACACACCCTAGAGCTGAGACGCGTGTTGTTCCTGTCTGGGATCACGGGAACACCGATGGCACAGGGTCATGAATGCACAGGGCGCCATGGCTCTGGAGAGCGCTGAACTCGCCATGAGCCCTTCAACGGCCGGATTCCCACAGTACGCAGGGCCTTGCGCCATCCCAGGGACTCACGCTCTGAGCGAGTCACTCTGCAATGATGAACCTGGGGTCTCCTACCTGTTCTGGCTCTTCGGATCTGATCACCACGGTCTCCGGGGTGACACAAGGGATCCTGGGGATGGCTGGAGATTCCACCCTGCGCACCGAGAACATTGGAACTCAAAGGGCAGACCCTCCTGAGTAGCCCCTGTCTGGACGGGAGGCCAGAGTGACGGTCCAGTCCACCTGCCCACCCACCCCACA